CATTACTTCTGTTCCCTGAGGCTGAGGTGAAAAAATATATCATAAGCGGCTGGTTCCTCAAGACTTGTTATCAAAACTGAGGTATAGTATAATCATATTTCATTTGTTGACTAGATAAAATTGTTATAAGAATAATTTCAGATCTTCCTTTGTTGTCACAAAGAAAGAAAATGGTGTATATTTCAAAAGACACAGAAGCTAGAGCGCTTTAGAATAGTTGAATATTCTTCTTCAGGAGCAAAATGGCCAATTGGCTCCTTTGGCATTGGTAAGTTCATGAAGGTCAGGCATTCACTTGGCCTACCATTCACAGAAGGAACAATGTTGACTAAAACCTCGTCAACTCCAAAGGAGCCTTCAAGCAGCCAAGAAGGAGACAACACCATCAATGCAGATGTAAGTGAAAATTGATCCAGCTCTGTCTAGAAAGAAATGGGACCCATGAAACGTCCCATCAGGGGATTCAACATCTTCACACACCACCACAGACAAATATGTTCACATCTTTTACATGCACAGTAAATCGCAAAATCAATGAAAATATTTCTAGAATTAGGATCCTCCTGAGGGATAAATAGGCTCCAAGAGGATTGGAGTAGGATGGATCCCTGGACAATGCCAGCTATTAATGATGTGTTGAACATAAGCCTGAAGCTGCCCCCACAGATGCCATCACAAATATTCAGATGCAGGTGAGCCATTTGGTTAGTGGACCATCTATACTACCACTGAGGCATCACTGACAAAGAAGTCACATGGCCTGTTTTAGAGAGAGCCAAGGGTGGAGTTCCCAACTAAACCACCTAATATATTAATAAGCTGACCCATGCTAGAGCCGATCTCCGCATACAATCAGCATTGCCAGAAGATGGCTGCTACATAAACCAAATCTGGAGTTATGTCTCTGTTGTGGACCCAAGTAGAAGTACACTGCTTCCAGGCCAAGCTGTTGGATACCTTTAGTATCATGACCAAAGCTCAGGACACAGTGTGGGCCATCAAGTCACCCATGAGAATACACTAGTAGGGTTAAGTTGAGGGGAAGCAGAACCTCTTTCAAATCTAGGTGACATTATATTTAGTATATTTAATTTAATTTAAAAGTTGTATTTCTGTGTATTTCTAATTTTTTTTATTATGATCAGTTCGTTCTTAAAACCCACCTAGTATGTTTTATAAATGTTTTTGATAAAGCTTATTACACAGTGTTTTAATTTTCACGTTTGGTTCTTTACTTTTACTTAGTTGTTTTATTATGATATCATCAACCTAAGCCTTTTTCTGTGTGATGAGTATATTTTGTATTTGATTTGTGAGAGATTAGTTCCTATAATATGATATAGCATTGTGTATTTCTAATTTTGTGATTTAATTTATGGGATTTTTTTTTTGAATTTATAAATCAGTTTTTTGGATGTCAAATGTTATCTTTTTAAGGGGTTTAATTTTTATTTACGGGACGTATCTTCTTCCGTACTGGTCTCCGTCTCGTTGGCTTCT